AGGAGCCTTCTCTTCTCCAGCTGCCCCAGCCCAGCTCTCTCAGCCTGGCTCCAGAGCAGAGCTGCTCCTCTGATCATTTGACATAGAAGAGCTTCATTCCTACTCAGACTTCCCTCCTTTTCCCTTCCCTCCTTAATGCACATTTGTTGGCAGTGCTGGGGATATTTTAGCCTCACCACTCTTTCAAAGCTGACTTACACTGAGCCAACATCCTGTTGTATGAAGGTTCATGTAGGAACAAATTGATGTTAGCAAAGTCAACATGAGGCGGGGGTGATATGGCAATAATTAGAGCACTCTTTCACTCATGGAGGAAGGGAAAAGGAATATACATAACAGAAGTTAGGAGTCAGGAGTCTTGAGTGACATGGTATAATGTGTGGTGTCCCTGCCCATGGCAGGGGGGTTGCAACTAGATGATCTTAAGCTCCTTTCCAACCGTAACTATTCTATGATCCTATGAAGTCTAAGGGATAATTAATAGTATTAGAAGAAAGGAGAAAATGGTTGCTTCGTTTTACCCTTATTGCCAAACACCAGCAAGAAAACACACCCACTAATTATGAAGAGCAACCTGTTTATAAGACACTTGGGCAGTAAACCAGATTGCCCTCTGTGAAGCAGAAGGCTTGGTTTGATCATCACCAGCTCATCCCCTGCTGACCACCGAAAGCCCCAAAACAAGAGCGGGGTTGTGTGAGGCATCCCTGCCCGTGACAGGGAGTTGGAACTGGATGATCTTAAGGTCCTTTCCAAGCCAAACCATTCTGTGGCTCTGCGTCTATTTTGACATCAGGATTGAAGAACTCTGGAATTTACCTCCTGATGATGTCATTTTAGGAGCAGATTAAGGAGGGCCTGATAAAGTGTCAAAACGCACATGGAGAAGGAAATCATCTGGTGCTGGAATGATTCATATTAGAAACAGACCAAAATACCCTACTGGTGGCTACTTCTAAGGAAGTACCTGTCAAGTTATTGCGTAATTGCCAGCAAAAGATGGGGTTTGGCAAATTTTTCTTCTAGACATTCTGTTACCTGCTGTCCAGGATTAATCTCACTTTGGAAGAAGCTCCATTGAGATGTCAGCTCAAGGTCCTACAAGATGCATCTTGTGTTAAGGTCTATTTCCCAGACTATCAGAAAGAGATTGCAAGAAATCCAGAGGAGAGCAACACAGAGGAATGGAAGAAAAAGGATTGATTTAAGAGGAGAGATTGAAAAAGAGGCAGTTTGAGAGATGGCTTTTTTCCAAGTAGAAAAGCAATTCCAGGA